ACATGCAGAGACGCACACACATGCAGAGACACACGTGCAGACGCATGCACACATGCACACGGATGGTGAACGTTGCTGAACAGGCACAGGCGTGTCATAGTGCTATATTAGACCCTAAATGTCCTGTCAGTCGGCACTGACAGCACATATCTGCTCATCCTTCACTGTTAAACGGCACCTTTAACCCAATCGTCTGTTGCTGCTGATAATAGCAGGTGTGAGGTGTTTTTATTTTTTATTTTCTTTCCAAGCTCAGTTTGTGTCTTTATTTTTCCACAGCCAATGTGACTGCTTATCATAATCCGCTAAGAAATGCCAAATTTAAATCAGCGTCCACAGGGACGATCATAGTGTGGTGTTGTAAGAGTGTGGCCCATCTCATGAAACAAGGATTTTCATTTTGAAAAAGCTGCAACACTGTTATTCACAATAGAACATAGAAAATAATTTATTTCAAATGTTTAAACTGAGAAAATGTTGAATTTGATTTCAGCAACGTGTGAAAAACACTGGAAAAGCGCATGTTTCCCACTGTGCAGCATCCCTGCTTCCATAATGGTCTGTGAGCTAAGGATTCAGAGCAGTCCCGGCTCTTCTCTTTGTGTTTTTCATTTCATAAGGCTCTAAATGTTCTCAGGTGGTGAAAGGTCTGGACTGCAGGGAGGCCAGTTCAGAAGCAATGCTGTTCTAATAGCTGCAGTATTCAAATATGAAGGCCTTCATTTTTGTTTCAGTTAATTACAATGTTTTTCACACCTAGTTTTAGTTTTTTAGTTTGGTTGTGGTTAACTAATATAACTGTGACGTGTCATTAAAGCAATCTTATTCTAAAATTGTTCTATTGTTCTTTACACAATGATGCTGCTGACCTGTTACCAGTTAACATGATTAGCTGCAGCTGTTTCTTTTGAGTTGTCCAGCATTTCGTGACCCTGACCTAACTTTGTTGTGTTGTTGCCTTCAAATTTAGTATGTGCTCATATTGTTCATGAAATATAAAAACCTCTCAATGGAAACATTTGATATGTTTATGTTTTGATAAAATATGTATTGATGAAGCCTAAAAATAATCACATTCTGTTTTACATTTACGTTTTACACAGTGTCCTGATGTTTTTGGGTATAAAGAAGGGCTGCAAAAAGTACTCAGCAGATTGATTGCCTGCCATTCATTTGAATTGTTTCTGACATGTTGTGATTTTCCTGGAGTATATGACTTAAAAGAGCATATACAGTGGGGCAAAAAAGTATTTAGTCAGCCACCGATTGTGCAAGTTCCCCCACTTAAAATGATGACAGAGGTGAGTAATTTGCACCAGAGGTACACTTCAACTGTGAGAGACAGAATGTGAAAAAAAAATCCATGAATCCACATGGTAGGATTT